TTTATGAGAAACAATTATTCAGACAAAAATGGAAAAATATTTTCACAACAGATGAATCTTGGAGGTATCTAAATGGCTGCAATAAAAAGAGATCTATTTATTATGATCAAAGAGGAGAAAAAAAAATTTTAAAACATAGTTCAAAAAATCTAAAGAAAGTTTTTCAAAGGGATTTTTAATTGCTGCTGATTCTTCATGTAATAGCTAATTAAAAATAAAGAGATTAGAGAAAAATGCTAACATCAACTTCACATATTATCAGAAATATATTTTACACCCAGTTTTCAAATGTGAAATACCTACTCTTTAACACTACTCTCTAAAACAGTGCCATCGGTCAGTAGAATGCGTCAAGCCAAAGCAAGCAATCGCACATCGAAATCCACTGTTAATTTCCTGGAGAAAATGGAACAAGAACCGTGCATCAAGGCCATACCCTTCCACTCATATCCCTACTAAATCTTCTGTTGTATCATCCATGGATTTGTGGGCTTTTGGACTTTTAAAAAGCGGGTTGTCTAGACGTCGTCCCTCCATGGACTTTGGAAACTGTTTCAGAGGAATGGGATAAAATACCGCTTCAGCTATTAAAAATTCTTTATTGTCTGGGAAACTGCGGTATGAAAAGATAGTGAATAATATAGGTTATCAAGCGGAACATTTAAAACACAAAAATCTTATGAAAAATAAGTCAGTAAATACAATAAAATCGTCTAAAAAATGTACGAACAGCTTTTGTACTACATAGAGTCGAGAAGAAACTTTTTTAGTGGGTTGACTATGATATGTCTTGACACCAGTCATCTGTTATCTGATATACTGCTAGCAAGGTTAGCTCCCTACTATCAACATCCCAACAAATCTCCTAGCTCAAAATCACGCTTTTACTGAGAAAGTTTCTCTCTCAATTCAATTTCATTTCTAAACAATGTAAAATGATTACTTTCTTTCACTGCTGCAAAGTAATGTGGTGCCTTTTTATCCAATGCGGTACAGTTCATTCTGGTACAGTTTTGGGGAAGATGTGGATGTAAAAATCGTCAGCAGGAAAGAGCTAATTTTGGAAGACTTAATTAAAGAAGCAATGATCCCCATCCCTCAACAAGCTATGCTTAAGTGATTAAATTATAGTTATACTTTAGTGTTAATAAGTGTCGCGTTTAAAATTAAGTGTTATGGTCTGAACCAGAGGCGCTCGGAAAGATTGCAAAGAAAAACGTCACGGAGAAACAACACACAAGGGAAACCCGAAGTCGTACACAACATCGTGAGAGACAAGAACGCAAAAGGAAAATATCGCAGTTCTAAAACCTCGTGGAATAAAACACAGTAGAAAATAAATCGGTGCAAAAACTTCGCAGTTTTAAAATATCGTCTTACAAAATGTAGTGGTAAAAAAAAAGTACCTACAATTTACCGCAAGATGATAAGTTCGCAAACATGCGTTTTCTGATTATTGAAATGTTAAGTGAATTTTCGTTTCGAAAATAGTTTCAGAAAAGCTAATTATCTTATAGAGACACTAGGTTATTTTTTTATGTTGAGAGGTGTGAAAAATGAGCAGTGCACTCTCCGGGACTCGGACCTGGACCTCTCGAATAGGCGCCGAGCGCGCTAACCGTTACACCACGAAGGCATGTAAAAAGGAGAGTGAGAATACCTCATAATCTGACAAATTATTCAATGAAATATTCTGTTTAGAAAGATGTAATATAACTGAGAAATTAAACAACTCCGAAAGCTGAAATTGAATGAAATGGAGCTAGAGCTTTTCTACGGAGAGAAAAACCATGTGTCATTCGAATATGCAATATTCATGATTAGAAGTTCATTTCCAGGAAACACTTTCAAGCGCAGAGTATATTTTTATAATAAATAGAATAAAACATCTCGCGGCGATCGTCTCTTTGCTAACATTGAACATCACCGACAATTTAATTGTCTAAAGCCACCACCTTGTTAGGTTACTTTTCAAAGCAGGAGAGATGAAAAATGAGCAAAGTCTTCGCCGGGAACCACGGACCTCTGGAATACGCGCCCAGCGTTCTGAACACTACACTACAAAGGCATGCTAAGAGAGCGGGAGAAATACGTTATATACTCCCCCTTTTAAAGGGCAAGTGGGGTTTCAGAGGACCCAATCGCCAAATCCTGGGGCATGGAGAATCATCACCCTTTTAGTTCGGGCGCCACTGTAGACGTATTAGGCATTTCTTTTTGGAAGCAGAAGAAGTGAAAAATGAGCAACGCCTTCACCGGGAATCGAACCACGGACCTCTGGAATACGCGCCCAGCGTTCTGACCACTAGACTACGAAGGCATGCCTTCGTAGTATAGTATCTCAGCATAAAAAATAACTCCCTCTTAGGCGGGAGAAATACCTTATAACCTTCACAGGTGCCTGAAACAGTTTAAAACGTGGGGTCTCTTTTTGTGATTTAACTGAAATTCATATGCAATGGAAATTCCAACTGAGCTATTTTTTTGAAATATTAAACTATCGTTTACCACGATTTTGTTTCCTTCGATTACCGTTAATGTCATGCTCCACAATGTCTTTGGAAAAATCTGGTCATTTTAAGCTAGCGAGAAAAAATGGACGTTAATATGCATAAAAATCCGATGTGGACACCACATGACTTCCTTGTATGGTCTATTAAATTATGAACATTTCTGCTGCATTTTAATTAAACGCACTTTCTCGAATTTCATTAGAAATGTATTTCTCATTCAGTCAATTCAGTTCTCACTTCGCGGCAAGGCAAAAATACATAAACTCAAAACATCTTCATTAAAAATTGTAAAATATAGAAAAACCTAAAACACCAATTAGAGTTGAAAACGAGTTTAAACAATTTTGCAATTAAAATTAGAGTCTAAATTAATTAAAACTATCCAAAACGACAGATATTTCAGATATATTTAGATGTTTCGGTGTACAAAACTTTTGGCCACACTCGGCAAAAAGACACTAAAGTTGGTGCAGAAACTGAGTTAATTCACTATGCTATCAAATGTAAATAAATAAGTTTCAAATGTAAATAAATGGCGGTGTCATTAGGCTTAGTAGAACTTATGCAACTGTTAAATTGGTAATAATTCTACAACTATTGCATCATAAAACCATTTACCGGAACATAAAAAAAATGTAATTCAGTTACTTACATATAAGAATAAAAAATCTGATGTGCACACCACATGACTTCCTTGTACGGAATATTAAATTACGCTCATTTTTTACTGCATTTCATTTAAACTTATTCCTCGAATTTCATTAGAGATATGTTTCTCATTCAATTAATTCAGTTCTTAATTCGAGGCAAGGCAAAAATACATAAAACCTCAAAATATCTTTATTAAAAATTGAAAAGTAGAGAAAAATATAAAACACCAAATGCAGTTAAAACAATTAAAAAAAAAAACAATTTTTAAAATTAAAGTTAGAGTTTCTACGCAAAAACAAGCAATTCGACCAGCGGCAAGAAGGCAAATTTTTCGGTGCACAAAACAAAAGTTTATTACTTTTGGTCCCACTCAGCAAAAAGACACTGAAGGTGCAGAAACTGACTTAATTCACTATTCTGCTAAGTTTCAAATGTAAACAAATATGTCAGCTATGGTAAAAAAAAAAATCAGGCTTAGCTGCACTTATACAGCTTTTAAATTGTTCATAATTAATTGTTGACTTAGTACAAGGAAGTAAAAAACTTAGCTCATCGAACCAGGTAACAGAATGGGTGTATATTTGTGGGGCAGCCGATTGCAGCCAAAAAAGGAGGTGCACATGTGCATATTATAGCAATCTTATACATCAATTTCACTTTCGGAGACTACCCGTTTTTGACTTATGCGAGATACATACATGCGTACATACGTAGACGTACGTATAGAAGTAACGTAAAATATCTCTTCTGAATCCATTTTAAATCCATTTAACAACCCGTTTTGGGAAAAAGAATCCTTTATTCTGTCCGTACGTACAGATACCATGCAAAAATATTGTTCAAATGGAACCGAGAGCGGTCAAAATGGATATTTTCGTTGAAATACGATACCCTATATTTTTCGCGATTACTATACTTCCTTTAATTCGTGCAAGGAATTAAAAATTAGTTGTGGAATAGAAGTTTTCTTATTTAGGATGTACGGTCAAACATGAAATTGAAACTCACATAATTTTATCTAAAATACAGGTATAATTTCTTAAGCCAAGTTAATGAGTGAAATGGGTTAAAACTGTTATTTATTGTTTTACTAACAGCTAAATTAATAATTCATATTGTTAAAACTTAACTCTAAACTTTTAATTAAAATTCTACGAAACTATCTGATTTTCTGTACTTCTTGCCAATAATATTTTTAAAAGATAATTAATGTATCTATAATTTGTGTTAAAAATAGTGGAATCGAATCGATAAATAAGCGAGTTTTATCATAGAGATGATCTTACAGTGAAGCGACTCTTGTCGGTTGTAACAAATCAAATATACTCTATTTGATCAAGTTGTCATATATGTTATTTGGAGGATATAGTCTCTATTTGCTTAACGATTGAATGCTAAACTCACTCTAGCTCGACAATCCATCATGTGATGGGCGGGAGGAGGTGCTATGCTCTCCCACTCAGAAGGACGTCCTCCGTGATTTCCTTATATTTCCCTCCCTTTCACATAATGCAATTCCGCAATTTCCACCTGAAGGCCTCTGCTTCGCTATTGTTTCTTCAAAGCAAATAATGTCGAGTCAAAAACGGATTTCGACATAGGAACACGTGGGAGGAATCGATCACATACTTCACTTTGATAATTGGACTCCAGGTCAACATCATAAAACTGTGTTTATTTTCATTCGGGATGTTATGTAATGTGATATGAGAAGTGTCATCATTGTGCGAGTCTAGAAGTCCTGAAACATTTAACGTAAGCAAAACATCAGATAGCTTAATACATACAGGAGGAGGGAAGACTAAATCTGAAAGGTGTGGTTTTATCATAGCTGGGCGGACGATTAAACGTCCTTCTTCTAAACTAGTGCTAAGAAAAAAAAGAACATTACAAAGGATGCAGAGGAGTATAAGAAGGTAGTAAAATCCAGCTGCGACGGCAGTTGTAAATGATAAGACTCAACTGTCTGTAGGTAACACTTCAAGTAGGGTAAGTTAATCAGATGTTACGTTCAGTCTAAACTTAGCTATAGACTTAACATTCATGAGTTGTTTGCATTGAAATTTCATTATAAATTGCTTTGAAATATATAAAAAGAATTTTAAATGAATTATAATTCGTGACTTTGAAATAATATAAAAATGTCGGTTTTATTAATTCAAGGTAAAATTTTAATGAAGTATTTTAAAATTTTCTTAAATAAATATAGTAGTAAATTTAGCGTTACTTTAAAATGGATAATGTTTTCTAACAGCTCAAAAACGAGAGCGTATAACATTTCAAAAAGTGCTTTTTAAATGTGTAAAAAATTTATTTTAAATTTTGAGAAACTGAAAATGAATTAGTCCTCAGTATTTAAATTATCTGTTATTACTTACTTTAAAAATATTAAATTACTGTAGATAAACTGCGTTGTGTTAAATTTATTAATTCTGAAATTATTAATTCTTAATTGAATGCTTTCCCTTTATTTTAATTCTTATAAATAACAGAACAGAAGGTTGATAAAAAATTTATAAGCGCTTCATAGGAGGTCGTATTGAAACTGAGGTGATACTGAAACTTAATGTTAATTTAGAACTAATAAAAGTAAGCATTGTATTACATAGGCTAAAAATCTGTGATTATTTAAACACTTTCTTTGATTCTGAGTGTGCTAACATAGTAAATATATTGATGAATATTCAATATAATTCTTTTTTCTTCATATTTTTCCATGTTATGACTTATCATAATTTTTTTCATAATCAATCATAATTTTGTCTCTGTCTATCGTAATTTTTTATCATAACTTTTTCTGTCTATCATAATTTTTAATATCTCCGTCTATCATCGCTGTCAATTTTTCCCTATCTCTTTTTCCCTCTCTATCATAATTTTTTCCCTATCCCTGTATCATAATTTTTTCCCTGTCTCCCAAACAAATGTAATGAAGGTGTTATTCATTACTACGTCGTAAAAAGGCAAAACGTAACTTCTGTAAATCAAAATTTATGATCTACTATTTCTACTTGTTACTTTGTATCAATCTTTATTTTAAAGTTCGAATTTTTTTTCTGTTATGAAGGGGCCATCGGGTCCACAGAACATTAGAAAAGATAAATTTAAATTGAAACAAATTTAACTGCGAAACATAAAATTCTAAATGTATAAAAAAATTAAATTACCAAAGACTTCAGCAGCTCATTCGTCTGCACATGAAAAGATTCATGATTATTGTTACTCAGAAGGAACGGAAATTAATCAATTCCAAAGATAATTTGCAGTGTTCTGAAGAAATATGCAGTAATTGTTTTAGATTTATTATGTGATTGACGCAGAAAGTAGTCTTCACCAGTTCCGACAAGTTGTGGTAATTATAAAAAAATAGCATGTTAGAATTTCTGTATTTGCATTTTTACCTCTGTCTCACACATGAAGTTTTTCTTTTTGTTATTAAGATATATATGCAAATAAGTGTCTTCTTCATTTTAGGGAGAAGGAGCGAAAACCAAATCAAGATGAAACGTTTCCTAATTGCAGTATTTTGGGTGACTTTAGCTGCTGTCAGAGCTTCTCCAAATCCTGCAAAAGCCTCAGTCGAAGCTAAAGCAAGTTTAGGAATTGATGCAGATGTAAGAAAAACACTTTTCTCAATTTTGTGGCGACATCATTTTGCCTTATGAAACAAATGTAACGCTTTCGCTTATATATTCGCCTTAAAATCTGCAGCCCCATTAGAAAAAGGTTCTTAAAAACAAGTAACACAGCCATAACAAATTTCTTTCACTTTTTGTGTTATGCTATGAGATGGCATGAGGTGTTATGTAACCGCTGAAGAGTTTGTCCGAAAACTAGCTACCTTAAACATTAACTCTATCTAGCGTTTGTGAAGATAGTAAAGCGACTTATTGCTATCTTAATCTCTCAATAGCGCGTACCACCAACTCAGAAGGCAACAAACAACAAACTCGGCAACTTGCTGGAATTTCAAAAACGAAGTTAAATCAAAATTGAAGTATTAAAATATCTGGTTTACAAGGAAAAGCACATCTACAAATTTTGGCTCAAACTCTCAAGATACGCGAAAAATTTCGGTTAGCAAGCTTAAGTAGGTTTAAGTAGTTCAAAAGTTGAGAGAGAATATTAATTACCAAACAAAGTCTTTCCTCTTACTTCGAGAATTCTATTTTTATGTACACTGTGAAAAAAAATGGGGTAGTTATATATTTCTCGTTCTACTGCGCCCATTGACGATATCCAACTTGCGTTTTTCATGTTTCGAAAGCGCGAGTTAGGATATAAATTAGATTTATGTATAGCATTGTGCTAACATAGGTATTTTGATACAAAACCAGACTTTTTCTGAAATGACATGCCATTTTTTTCCTATTTCGATTCTACGACTCAAATTATTCCAAACTGCCAAGTTTTGTAAAAATCACACGAGTAGTTTTCTAAATATTAGCTCTCAAAATTTTAGCTCCTCATTGTTAATTGAATTTGGTATATAATGATTAACATTTTTACCATCATCTTAAAGTAGATGTACCTGCAAAAAAATTAGAGTTTTTTATTCAAAAGTTCCTAAGATATACGTAAATTTATTTATTGGCACGCTTTCAAATTTGGCATATTTGTTGAAAGCGATTATAATATCAAATGTGGTTTAGGCACTTTGTTAAAAGGAATGACTTTTTTCCACTCATGCACAATGTAAAAATGGAAAGGAATATAGGTTGCCATATATTAAGAAGTTTGCCGAGTGAATTATTCTTGGCACAATCTGAAAAAAAATGCGCCAAGATAAATTTTTGAATTTCTCCGTAAATTTCGCACCAAATTTTACAAAATTTAATATTTAGGCATAAGGCAAAAATATTAAGCTAACTGATTAAACCCCTATAAGCTTTAATCATTTATCATATTAATGCAGATTAGAAAGGAATTTCGCTCAACTAAGAAGTCCGCAACTGCCACAAAACGATTTCATTCTAAAAGGATGGCAAAATAATATTGCTAAATTTAATTTTTATAAAAATGATTGTAAAATATTAAATAATTGCTTCTTTCTTTACAGTTTACTCTATTTAATTATGTAAGCATAAGTATTTTAAATCTAACTATTAAAATTGCAAATTTTTAAAAATTAATATTGCTTACGAAAATTGATATATATTCAGATACTTTTACAGTATATTTTACTGTATAAATATGTAATGCCTAACTCAGATAATAAAGTCTGATTTTCCAAGAAAGGACTGGGGAACGAAATTCTTTAAAATGAGCGGTCATCCTCCTTAAAACAAGTCTCATCGGTTGAAACTGTTTCTGATCTGTAAAGCCGTCTTCAGTTACTTTGTAATTTGATTCAGAGATAAAATTAGAAATTTTCATACCTATTAACACTTTTATTGTTCTCTGATTATTACAGTAAAATTGCAATTTAGTGTTAGGATAGAAACCAATTTTTAAATCCCTTTTTTTCATTCTGAGATATGTATTCTGATATTTGATATAGTTTAATGAAGAGTGAAAATATTTCCACGAAAATAACGGAAGAAATTACTATAAAATGAAAAGTAATAGACTAGCAAAAAGAACGCCCGTCACAGATGCAAAGTCTACATCGTAGCACTTTGATAGGAAAAGGTAATTTTTTTTTTTCCCTTTCAGAAACACGTGACGTTACTTGTCATTAAGTAAAGTGGGTAGAACAATTAAAAAGAAAAGAAATGTAATACGTCTTTTTCTAAAGAATCTGAAAGTTTCAGATTTTAAAGTACGTCCAAAGAGGCGTTTTTTTAACGTCTTGTTTTGCAACGTCTTGTCCTTTATTTATTAAGCATCATGTTCTACGTACTCAAACCATAAAATTCAGTTCAACAGCAATATCGTAAAATAATATAAAATGAGCATATCTTTAGGATCTCTGATGCACAATTTCGCGCGCTGAAGATAATTTTTTTTTCGTATAGTGTTGCCATTACTCGCTTTGAAATCGTTGAGTTTCTTAATCAAAAATTCGCTAAAGTCTTACAAAATGCGAAATAGGTAATAAAACAAATTCCAAATTTTTAGTTCGAACTTCTAGATGACCATATTCTATGGAAGATTGCGTTATTCAAATTTTGATGGCTCTAGGTACCGTTGTTTTATCACAATGAGCGAAATATACATGCATTCATGCAGATTCTTCATTATTTAATTTCTTTAAATAGAATGCAGGGCGATAATATTTGGTGACAACAATTTGAAAAGAGAATCGACGTAAAATGTCAAAACAAAATTAATAGTCCTTCTGGGCAAATTGTCCCTTTGGACTAATAAAAAATATGTCGCATCAATTTTATTTGTCAAATAATGCCATCTATTACTGGAATATTTATGTTCTCGATGGAAACGTGCATACCAGCCACACTTTTTCTATTTTCTTTTACTCTGCATGTTTGGCATTCGTCTTCTAAGTTAGTGTTCGTCCGCCGCGTATTATGTGACGTTCGTCTATAAAAATGTGAAGAATTTATCTATGGACAGGTATAGCACAGTATCTCTAATTTTGTTCATTTTGAATTCAGATTATTATCAAACCAATAGGTTATGTTCCTTTTCTTCGTTTTGACAGATTCGTTTCGTTTTGATATAAAGAATTTATGACAAATTTACCTAAGTTTGAAGAAACAAACTTAAATATTGAGAGCTTTTGTTCCGTAATAAATACGGAAATTACTAAAAAAAGTTTGACATTTTTGTATAGAACCTAAATGCTACTTAAAAACCCTATTTCTACGAATTAATGATTTTTATATTGAAAAAAAGATCTCATAGACCTCATTTCGATGGCATTGCCAACAAAAGACTCAAAACCTATGTAGTAACATGCGGAAACAGCATGGACTAGCATACTGAAGCACTTACTCATAGCTTCTTGCTCTCTATATTAGGATGTGTAGCAGCAGGTATTGCCAAATATAGTGGTTTTATAGTAGTATTGATTTCTTGGTGCCCCGTAAATCGGACGGGGTTGATCAGTTTATGAGGTATTTCTCCCGATTTCTTAGCATGCCTTCGTGGTGTAGTGGTCAGCACACTCGACGCGGATTCTAGAGGTCTGTGGTTCGAGTCCCGGTGAGGGCATTACTCATTTTTCACGTCTCCTGCTTTCAAAAAATACCTAATGTTTCTACAGTGGCGCTCGAACTAAAATAGGTGGTGGATGATGATTCTCCACCACCAGGTTTTGGCGATTGGGTCCCCTAATCCGCAGTCGCCCTTTAAAAGGGGGAGTATATAAGGTATTTTCCCGCCTTCTTAGCATGCCGTCATGGTGTAGTGATCAGCACGCTCGACGCGTATTCGAGAGGTCCGTGGTTCAAGGCCCGTTAAGGGCATTGCTCATTTTTCATCTCTCCTGCTTCGAAATTACCTAACGTCTCTACAGGTTCATCCTTTAAAGCAGAAATATGTCTTTTACATATCTTGTTTTTGATAACGTTACATTTTTGGATAGCCAGCATGGTAATTTGAGCAGCTGTTAAAAGTCATTCGCTTACACTTTTAATTAATAAACATCTGAAAGACCATCAGTTATAAATTCTGGTGTTTCGCCACGAATTTTGCTATGGCTGTTAAAATAAGATTACGTGAATTTTTCGTCGTTTTTCTCATCTGTAATAATATAAGCCAGTGTCTCTTAGCAAACAGGCAACTGGTGATAGATAGCTTATTAGGCAGATCTCTTCCAGTCTAGGCAAAGAGGCGACTGGAGAGATAAAATCGTGCTCTACCATGATTACAGTTATCCAATTTAATTCAAAAATCATCTGAATATTAATTTTCCGCAGTTTTATTTTGAGAGCTTAGAAAAATTAAAAGCATTAACCTTATTGATCCCAAAAAATGAAAACGAAACAAAGAAAATTAAAACAAAAAAGAACAAAATTCAGTGTTTTAGACGTAAGCCTTAATTTCTTAGTTCAGAGGTTAGTTTTCATATATATGCTGAATTATAAAACACGTTAACTTGTCACTTTTCATGGCTTTAGTTTCTAATACTTAGCGTCATCTAAGTATTTTCAAGAGATTTTTGAACATTTAAATAATTGTATTGCACTTTCTCGGTATGAGGACATCGTTAGAAAATATTGGAGAGCCCGTGAACTAATAGCTTAAGCGCTAATGTTTGGCATTTGTAAAATAAATAACTGTATTTTCAAGAAATAAATATGCAATAGTTTTTAACAGTTGCAAAGCGTTAAAACTAAGAATTTCTGAATGATGCGTAAAATTAGGATTGAAATAAAGAGTTATGGTTTTCTTAATTGTGTATTTATGGTTTTCTTAATTGTGCATTTATGGTTTTCTTAATTGCGCATTTATGGTTTTCTTAATTGTGTATTTATGGTTTTCTTAATTCTGTATCTTAACCTATAATACATTTACCCAAGCCTCCCTGATCTATATAATGGTTAGTGCTCTTGGCTGCCATATCGTTCGTTGAGCTCAGGTTCAAATCTCGGGAAGGCATTAATGTTTCTAAATGTATAGTGTCTGTTAGGTATGGGGGCACTAAAAAAAAACACATGACCAGTCGAGAGTCTCCTTAAGTGTTTTGGTGTCAGGATAAAAGGGATGAGAGATCATTGGATCCTTCCTTCCTAGGATACTCCTTCAAAACTGTAACGAAACTCGAAAAGTTCTGTCACCTAAATCAGTGCTCCGCAACCGGTGTTTGCCATGAGTAGGATATAGGTGTGCCGCAATCAAATACATGTATTTGACATTTTGCAATTTTTTATCATGTATTTAATACACAATGACAATTTTTTTTCTTAATAATGTCTATTTTAAATGTTTTTATATATTTCACTGTTGTGTGGTTGTGTGTGTGATTGTAAGTCTGTCAGCATTTGAATTTTTTCGGCACTTCCTTGATAACTCGGAACTCTTTGGTGTGCCACGAAATTCCAGAAAGATTTTTTGGGCGTCGCAGGTGAGAAAAGGTTGCGGAGCACTGACCTAAATAATGCAAAACCTCTTGCCCTCCTCGCCTCGATAATATTCCCGGACTTGTTCTGATTAGGTCATACAAGTGAGCTAAGCCATAACAACAATATTTACCCAAAAAAAATGTATATATATATTATAAACTCAGAAATCTTGAGTAATATCTAAAGCTTCAATTTTATTTAAAAAATTCTTTCATCTTTTATTTACAGATCAGCATTGATGCCGATTCTTCCATATATGATGGTCCGATTGAATGGGATGATAACTGTGATTGTAATTTAGAAGATAATGACTACTACGACGATATTTTGTAAGTACTTTATGCCTAATCTTCTATCTGTAGTGCATATGCACAATACTCTAGAACCTATTTAAATGATAGCTTTATAATTTCATATGCAAAATGTCTTAAAATCAAATCTGATAGGAGATATTCTCAAGCGAAGTAAATCAAACGATTCTCTTCTCTTTCAGGTACATGCGAAGGCGTTATCAGGATTTCGCTGCCGTAAGAGACTTCGAAAATTACGTCAAAAGAGAAGTGGATGCTTGGAGAAGACATTTCTTCTCTGCAGGTGCAGATAATCAGACTACCTTGTTTGAGAATGAACAAGCATTCCAAAGGTAAGGAAATACTCTTCTGGCTGTTATTTGCATTCCAGCCCCAGGATATATCAATCAACAAGAAACTTTTAATCGGCATAAGTTAGAAGATTCTTTCGCAAAAAAAAAAAAGTTAATTTCTCATCTTTTCGACTGAACGACTTTTTCTTTGAAATCAAATCCAGTTCTTGGTTCTGTAGAAATATATATGCGTCGGAAGAAGAGTTCTGTTCTCGTGAGCAGTAACTTTCATTTAAGTACGGTAGTAGAACTGTAAAAACATTAGGTATTTTTTTTGGAAGATGAAAAATATGCAACGCCTTCGCCGGGAATCGAACCACGGACCTCTCAATTACGCGCTGAGCGTGCAGACCACCACACCACGAAGGCCTGCCAAGAAGGCAGGAGAAATACCTTACAGAACTTCTTAAAGAAAACAAAGCTAACAAAACACTTATTTTAAATAGATTCAAACAGTGTTGAAGAAATTCAATGCACAGAGATTTTGTACTTAAGTACATTTTAATACGCATCCACACGTATTTTTCGCAGCATTACAAAATAGCGCTTGGCAACAGCGCTTGCCACTTCTATTTTCACCCTGGTTAAAGAATACTTTCTTTTGGACTAAAAGGTTTAACACTTGTTAATTGATATCATGTTAAGACACAATAACTCGCCGAACAAATACTAATTCAGAAGTCAAAAAACAAAAATCTGCGTTATATTTTCAAATTTTCACAGTTTCTCATTTGCGTTTTTGCAGCTGAGGAGGGTGGTTCGGTAAAACCATCGAAACTAGTCCTGTGAAAATTGGAAAATATAACGCTGATTTATTTTGTTTGACTTCTGAATTGATATCATGTTGTTAATATTCAATTTTGAAGGAAATATGTCCAATAGTTGACATTGCCGCTTTATGTTCAAATTCCATACTTACGTTTGAAACTGTATTCTGTAAAAAAATTCTTTTCGCAAAAATTAATAGAAGCATTTGGAAAGAAAATGAAAGAAACAACACAATATTGCGTAAATAGCTCTGGTTTATCATGCAGAATTTCAGTGAACTGTTAAATGAATATTTCTAATTCACCAGATGCAGAATTTCAATCAACTGTTTAAATAGCTCTGACTTCTAATTCATCAGATTAAGAATCGAATGACCAGAAGTCAGATAATCAAAAGCTATGAAGTAATAAAAATATTTGCTTTTTCTGTATATTGTTTCAAGCTTAAAATGGCCACGGAATTAGAAATTTAACGAATATCACCTAAAATCGCAAATCGTAAAGAGAAATTCTGCGTATTGCTGTTATAGAAAATTAAATGTACCTAAGATAAAAAATTAGCATACATAAAAAATTTTGTTTTTAATATTAACGTTTAGTTAAAACTATTTCATAAAGGTTTATATTTATTGCTACTGGATTGAACCATCATAACTCACAATTTGAAAGCATAATGACAACAAGCTCTTCTAGTTACGCTCTCTGATTTACAGGTTCTTTGTTATCTCCATATGAATGAATACACGCTACCTAACTGCAGTAAATAAAATTTCATCTCGAATTTGATTTAAAAAGGAAATAGATTTATGTGTTTCCTTGCTTAACTAGAAACTGAATTTTCTGAACATTTATGAGACAGAAATTTTCACAACGTTATGCTGACACTAGTCGATTGTGTAGTTGAATGAAAAATTAATTAGCAATATAAAGAGTTAAAATAATTGCTGATAATACTCGAACTGGAAACTGTGGCTGTTGTCTTGCCAATGGTAAAATCTAATTTGGAAAACATTTTACACGTTAAACATGTTAAAAAAGGGAGTTTTTCGCACATACACGATCTAATCTTCAAAAATTAGTATCTCCTACACTTAGACATAGTTTGAGAATTTGAGAAAATTACATGATTCGAAAAAATAAAAATCGTTTGGTATATACCAGCGTTTCTCAACCTTTTAACTAATGCGTACCATCTAAACAAAAACTGAAAACTTTTAATACCACCAATACATTTTAAAATAATTATGTTTCAGTTTCTCAATAGAAATATTTACAAAAATATATTTTGCGATTTGCACAACCTATTGGCTATTTGTATTAAATATGCACACATAAAAAAATATTAGATTAAAAATCGGTTACCATTTTAATTATCAAAATTTAAGTTACAATAATTTAATTCTAAAATTTAGTGTGAAATTCGGGCCTGTTTCAAGACAGATCAATTTCTTTATTGCCCGGTCTTATTTCACTTAGTTTTATCCGTAAATTAGGATCCACTTTTAATTTTTTCTGTATTTATTTTTAAAATATAACATGGAATAAAATCCTTTAATACAAATTGGTTGTGCAAGAAAGCAATAAAAACTTAATAATCTTATTTTGAAATGCCTTTAAATTCTTTTTTTCGGTTAGGCCAAAAATTAACAAGTGTGCTATTTTTGAAATTTTCAGTTAGAGTTCGATCATGGGAAATTTCTATCAATAGTTCTTTTTATTCGGGAGATTTTTGAATTAAATAGTTAAAATACTTTGTTTCTTTACGTACCACCAGAGGTATGCGTACCACCGGTTGAGAATCGTTGGTATATACTAGTCATCAGTCTTACTGAATATGCCTTTAACAAAATGTGCGTAATTTATGATGTTTATTTACAGGCTCCGTTTGAGACCGCGTATCCTTCGAGGTGTGGGTGTCAGAGATACAACATCACAGTTGCTAGGAGACGATGCATCATTCCCCCTCGGCATTGCACCTATCCCCCTCCTAGAATATGCAGATCCCGATGGAGAGAATGGTGTCGCTGAAGGTAAGAAAGTTAAAGTTAAATGAAGTTAAAGTTAAATGAAGTTAAAAATAAATGAAATTAAAGTTAAATGAAGTTAAAGTTAAATGAAGTTAAAAATAAATGAAATTAAAGTTAAATGAAGTTAAAGTTAAATGAAGTTAAAAATAAATGAAATTAAAGTTAAATGAAGTTAAAGTTAAATGAAGTTATACATTTATCGTTTTTGACGAAATTCAACTCAGGCAACCACACATAATGTTCACAATGAAATTAGGCTATAACCTTATCATTAAAACTACCGGCTTGTTATTTGAGGCTATGCGCCAAATAGGCGAGCTATCGCATACCACAGAGTTTCTTTAACTGTGAGTCGTGATCCCGATTGGGATCGCGGGACCTGCAGCAGGGGATCACCAAAAATTCAGCAATTTTGATATTTCTTTAACTTATTATAATAATTTTATAATTACCAAATATTTTTACATGATGTTTCTGAAAATAGATAAAGATAAGCCAATACAGACAAAGAAAAAAACGAAAACGGTTCGACTCATTTTCTTTATAATAGAAACGTTCATTTTACTTTAAAAATTAAAGGCTATATCCTAAAACTTGCAATAGTATATTACAGTTATAAGTGAAGAAATTGATAGTTTCATTCACGCGTGTGTCGGATTTGCGCAATGCTTGTAGAGACATATTATTAGTTATTAATTTTTGGGGGAAGCAGGCAAGATGAAAAATTAGTAATCGCCTTTTACCGGGAATCAAACCACGGACCTCTGGAATACCAGCCCAGCGCGCAGAACCACTACACCACGAAGGCACGCTAGAAAAGAGGGAGAAATACTTTATATGCTTATGGATGTTCCACAAAATTTTCGCAAATATTACGGCGTCCCCACACCAAAAACTGACATAGCAAATAAATAATAGCAAATTTTAAAAGCAATTTTGAACAAAATCTTACTGACTGAGTCACTCTGAGTCACTTGCTAATTCATTTTACTTACTGTTTACTGACTGAGACATTTGCTAATTAATTTTTTTGGCTGTTTACTGACTGAGACACTTGCTAATTCATTTTGCTTACTGCCTGGAACATTTTAGAAATTTTCTTCTTCTTTCTCTAAAGATAAGCTAGTAACAAAAAAAATGTGTGAGTGGTTAATAGCAGAGGGAGAAAACTTAAGCAGCGTTTCTAAAATGACCCACGAAAGAGCCCATATTGAAAATGCTCAGTCATACTTAAACCAGGATCAAGACATACGTATTTGTTATCGTAATTATTCAGTTCATACTGTTTTCTCCTTCAAACAGATACTGAAACTTGGACTTCGGTGCGTTCGAATACATTTGATTGGTGAGTCCTCAGAATGTAATGTTCTTCTATACGTTAAGCTTGTAAATGATCGAGGAAATGAAACTAATTAACTTGTAGAGACATTAGGTATTTTTGGAAGTAGGCAAGATGAAAAATGAGCAATCGCCTTCGTCGAAAATCGAACCACGGACATCTGGAATACCGGCCCAGCGTGCAGAACCACTATACCACGGAGGCACGCTAGGAAAGTGGGAGAAATACCTTATATGCTCCTCCTTTTAAAGAGCGACTGGGGTTTTTAGAGGACCCAATCGCCAAATCTGTATGCGGAGAATCATCATCCAACATTTTAGTTCGGGCGCCACTGTAGACATATTAGGTTTATTTGGAAAAGGAGACTTAAAAAATTAGCAAACGCCTTCGCCGGGAATCGAACCACGAACCTCTGAAATACTGGCTCAGTGTGCTGACCACTACACCCCGAAGGCATGGTAGGAAGGCGGGATAAATACCTTATAAACTTTTCTTTAAAATTTAATTAAAAACATTTTAATGTTTCAAAATAAGAAATTTGTACATAAAAAGTAGTTATTTTAGTAACTAGTCGCTTAAAATAGTTTAACAAACAACATGGTAATTTAAATGAGTCCAATTAATGTTATTTAATTATGTGTCGAAATGTGTTTTTAATTTCTAGCAGTAGCACTTAACAAACATCATTCGTCAGAGTGAAAACTCTCAGCGCAAACACACAAGGAGAAAAAATTAACTAAAAACGTACAAAAAGAAAGCAGAAACATCAGACAGTGAACCGGAAACAAAATAAATCGATAACAAAAGTCAATTAATTTGTAAAGCTTGCAACTGTTTTCTAGCCTTACAATATCTTCCAATATCTATCGTAAGTATTTCTTTAGATAACTGCGCATACTCCGAGATGCTCAGCGTCCATCATCGCTGCATAAGATACAGTTTTGGATGAACAGTATTCGGAATCTATGCAGGTAACCAGCAAGGCATTCATAGCCTGAAGGCAGCAAAAGCATGCCGTATTGAAAAATCAGAAATCTCTTCAAAAGTCTCTTTCCAAGGTTTATCACTATTAATTTCAGATAATTTTGTCTTGTAATTCTCATTCAAAGTATTTTTTATTGTTCTGTTTATTGAAAAATATGGGCTCTCCTTTTGCGTGGAACAACAGCAACACATAATTTTTAAACAGCCCACTCTGTTCATTAAACATGAAAGATAATTTATCTCATATTTTACCGAATGACAACACATTGGCGAAGACTAAAATAAGGAGGCTCAAAGATTTCGAGGATTGGCAACATATTACTTTTAAATCGTTGAGTTTGTCAAATAAAAACTCGTTAAAGTCGTACAAAACATTGTAGAGACATTAGGTTATTTGGAAACAGGAGCGATGAAAAATTAGCAAAGCCCTCTCCAAAATCAGAACCAAGAACCTCTCGAATACGCGTCGAGTGTGCTGATCACTACACCACGAAGTCATGCTAAGAATACCTTATGACATGATATAATTTTTTTAATTCGAAATTTGGGCATCAAGTTTTAGATGTTCCGGTGAAAGACTGTGTGTCTCAAAACTAGTGCTGCCACTTTTCCATAATGCCAGGAACATTCATACATGTATTCAAATTGTTTATTATTTAATATCAAAGCATACACCTGCCTGTGTCTTCTACAACCATTAATTCTGCGCTGGAAAAGTTAATGTTTTCCTAACAGTAAAGGCATAAATGCCTGAGAGCTCCTTGCATAAACACACAGTGGTATAAAAATTAAAAAGAGGTATTAAAATTCCTTCATTAGACATTGATTTTTGCACATTTACTGAAATATATTTTTAGAGATTCTCTTTTTCCTTTAGCCGCGGAATGCGAAGGAGTCCCTTACATTGTCAGCGCATTCTCCAGCACCGATCTGGAAGAAATTGCAGCCAGAGCCCCTCATGCTAACTTGTGGATGGAAACCTTCATCTTCTTCGATCGCTCTATCACCCAGAGCATCATAGAAAGAGCTGAAGCATCTGGATACAGAGCAATCGTCGTCACTGTTTCCCTGCCCGAGGATGGCAATATAGTGCCAACAGTAAGAGATAATCCAGTCTTGCCTGATTACATTCAGTAAGTTGCCTTATGTTGCTACCTTTATGTTTGTATTTCCGCTTTAAATTTCAACTAATTACACTGAGATTTTAAACTTGTATCTTTCTTCCTCGTTATCAAACGGGGCCCTATGGGGTTAGAATTTAATTCCCGTTATTGAGCTGTCGGTGTGCGTAATGGCAAACCACACATTGAGTTAATCAATGTTAACGAATTGTGCTTACTGTGCGTACTCAACGGTGTACTTGGTTTATTTTGTTCATAAACATTACATTTAATATTGGTTATTAGGAAATATAATCAGTTTGAATGCCTAGCAGGCATACTTGAGCTGTTTTATATGTATGGATTGACTATTCCAACAAAGCCCACTTATTTAACTTTTTAATTCAGTAATTTAAACTGGATTTATCTTTAATTTGCTAAAGTAAATACGAATGGAACATATGGTAAATACTCAATTGATTTTATTCCTCATAAGTATAATTAATAAGCATTTAGCTAATATACCTTGTAATGATTTTCCTGCTTTGCAATCCTTCTAAAAAACTTACAACCTGACAAGTTTTAAAACCCCGAATTGTTTACTCCCAGATAATACTGTGGCTCAATTTTAGAAGAAGATAAATACAGTATACAATATCAACCGTATACCATATTTATCTTCTTCTAAAATTGAGCCATAGTTGTAATTGCGACAACTTCTATCCTGGGCATGCGCAATAAACGAAATTCGTTTAACATTAATCAACTCAATGTGCGGTTTGCCATTATGCTGCCGGCGTTAACGCTAAAAGTTAAGGTTTTTCCGAATGAAGAGTTTATCATAAGTAAATTTAGTGTCAGTAAAAGTTGTTGTGTGTAAGCTTACTAACAGATTTCAAAAGCCATTTTCATGTACTTCATTCAACAAACTAAGTAACTAAAAAACCTGACGTGGACACCACACGACTTCCTTGCACGGCCTAGTAAATTATTCGCATTTTTTGCTGCATTTCTTTAAACTTACTTCCTCGAATTAATTAATCCACTTAATTAATCGCTCCCTCAATGCAAGTAGAAAATAACTTCAAAAATTGCCTATTTTGAAATTAAATATCCCGTTCAATTTTTGTCGCACGATAATCAAATTTCTTATATTTTTATTTTATCATAAGGAGTATAAAACATTCCTAAATATAAGTATCGGAACCGGAGAACCTCATTGAAAATTAGATTTAGTTATTTGTCCAAAATTAATTTTTTATAATTTGAAATTGCCAAAACATAAATATTTATGTCATTTAGAAAACTTCTGCAACTGGAAGTTTAAGTCTATGACCGACGATTGTTAAAATAAAGGTTGGATAAAAACTTTTAAGTCTGTTAAGGGGGGGAGTATATATATATATATATATATGCGTGTGTAGATACATAGATAGATAGGATACACACTTTTGATACCTCGAATTGCGATCCTAAAAGGGAGGTACACAACAAGATGTTATAGAGGACCCCTAATGTAAAATTTCACCGTTCTAAGGCTAGCTGTTTTTGTATTGAGCGAGAAACATATGTACGTACAGATGTCACGAATAATCTATTACAATCCGTTTTGTAATAAAGAGTCCTTTATTCTATCCGTACGTATAAACATCGCAAAATGTAGTAAAAATGTATTCGGAAACAGTCATGGATATTTCCGTAGAAATCTGTTTACCAAAAATTTCGTGACTATGATACTTTCTTTATTTCGTAGATTGGAAGTAAAATCAATAGAGTCAATAAAAACCAACAGAATAAAATGCATAATTCATAAAGGATAAATAAATCGAATTTAAAGATAAATAGATATGCACGTATATAAAACTCACACTATGTTCATTTAAATACATAATTATTAATTTAATGCATCAGTGTACAGTGTGTGTGCAGTGTATCAGTGTATGTTACGTATATGTACAGTGAGTCAAAAAAATGGCACAATTCTGTCTTCTATTCCAATCTTCTGTTCTAGTTGGCCGAATTTCAATTTGCATTTTTCACATCTCGGAAAAGCCACTGAGATTAGATACTAAATTTATTATAGCATTGTTCTAACATACGTCTTTTACCTAAAATCGAACCTTTCTTGAATCGACTTTCCGTACGTTTATTCTACATCTGGAATTATGCATAAATATAAACTTTGTAAAAAATCTTTCAAACCGAGATATCTGCGTCGAAAACTTGGCTGTACTTTTTCAGATTGGCGGGAAAAAGAAATTTCTCTTGCGAACTTCTAATTTATGTTAAACCCTATCCTTTTTAAATATTTTTTTTTAAATCTGATTAATGAATGACCAAGTTATAAAATCTTTCACAAATTTAAAAGTTTAGTTATTAATTCTCCGTTTTGGATAAAATGTTTATAATATTCAGAAAATAAGTAATTACTTTAAACTAATACATATTTGAAAGTAATCAAGATTTCAGAAAATATAAGAATTTAAACGATTTTTTCAGAAAAAAAGAGTCTTCTTTTAGAATTTCATTAAAAACCTGATACATACAATCAGCTGCCATGTCAAAGATCAAGAATTTCAATTTAATGTGTGATTAAAGAAAGTCAGCATGAGTGAGGAAGGTACAGGTGCTGGTGAATAATGCAAAACCAAATTAGGAACATACTTCATTAATTTTGTTTAAAATTAACTTTGAAATTCTTCTGATTTAGTAATTACCTGTATAACTTTTGTTATATACTGTTTAAAATGTTGCAAAACGATGTATACGTCGACAGTGAATATGTGTGTATCTCACAGCAAAATAAAGTAGAACTAAATATAAATTCGAGTGAAAAGAGCCAAAAAGAGCAAAACGGAAATCATACTTAGATCTCGCATTGTTATATCTTTTAAACTTAAGTTTTGTCGGGACATTAGGTTATTTCGAAGCAGGAGACATCAAAAAGGAGCAATGCCCTCACCGGGACTCGAACCACGGACCTCTCGAATACGCATCGAGTGTGCTTACCACTACACCACAACGTCATGCTAAGAAGGCGGGAGAAATAGCTTATAAACTTACTCCAAGTTTCAAATCACTGCCAAATATGTTTTATATTTTATATTTTAATAAGAAATTCTATTTTTTGGAAATATGTCTACAGTGATGCTAGTCTTTATAGATTATGATAAAAAATATTTTTCGAAACATTTTTTAAGTAAATCAAAAAAACAGCGTCCATATTTTATTCGCATTAAGCCTAAATTCCGAATACTTAGCTCATATTTTTTTTTACATTTATATTCATATTTTTTTATATAACAGCTCATACTTTTTTTAGCTCTGGCTGTAACATTTTGTTGAAAAATATGATGTGCATGTTTGCAGTTCAAAAGCCTGGAATAAATCCTAGTTTAATTTCAGAGAACAGTTTTATTTTATTTATTTATGCTGCTTTTCGTTTTTAATCACGTATTTCTTTTGCATTAAAACATTTGAAACGGCTGTAATAAGACCTAAGAATTTAAAAAAGCATTCCCATTAAAATAATAACGAGCACTATAGCACTAAAATCTATTTTCTCTTTAGGATGATATTTGCAATGTTATATTATTTTTTAAATTGATGAATTACTTCTAGTGATTATGAGACTCTCTTCATAGTGGATTATATATTTGTTTGTGCATGCTATTTTTTATGCCCGGTAACTGGTGAATCAATGATGAGGTAAAAACGAGCATACTGTACCATATGTAAATCAAAATTGTTTTACTTATTAATAGCTAAAAATAAATCCAATCGTTATTTCTTTTCAGTCTCCCTAACATTGAAAATGATGAATCCAATGAGAACTTTGTCGCTGAGGTTTCAGCCGGTGCTGATCGCCCTTACCTGCACAGACATCATATTCTTTCACAGATTGAACTGGTAAAAGGAAAAGGCTACTTCAAAACTGAAAAAGTCGATCAGAGATACGAAAGGACATCGCAGTGCATTGGATCTTTTGGTTTGGCAGACTATTTCAATTATTTAATAGATCCAGAGCAAAGCTGGGATGATATTCGCTGGATCAGGAAGACCACAAACTTACCTATTGTTGTCCGTGGTGTATTAACTGGTAGGTGAAATTTGAATTTCAATTGACGATTTAAAATCTTATTCTTAGATTTTATTTTAGTTTAGATAAAATTTTATTTTTAAGAAAGGTTATTCAACATGCACTTTGCATTCTAATCATATTCTTATCTAATCTGGCTCCTCAACTGCAGGATTATAATTTGTCTCTGCAACCATTAGAATGTGTCCATGTCTGACAGAAGTGATTCATCAAAATATAAAATTATCTACAAGCAAAAAGGCACAATTCAACAAGTTCTGTTTTTTTTTTAATTGTTTATAGAAAAGTGTTACTTTTTTAATACGGAAGACTGTGCAGTCATTCTTTTGCCTTCAAAAGGTGCAATTATGCCAGTTTTGTAATACAAAAATTTTCATACTTCTATACTCCCTTCCCAGAATATGTCGCCATCATCAGTTGTCATTAAAACGTACTTTTTTTATTCTGCTTTCTATAACAGAAAATAGCTCTGGGCTCTGAGTTTTCAAAATGAGGTATTCCAATTCCGATTTCATTGTAAGTTCACTCAATCAACAAGCTACTTTTTTTCCCTCTTGTGTGTTACTCTGCGTGTAGTTATCCCATACATATGGTTTAAAAAAACCGAATATCGATCGCAAATACGATCCGAAAATTTATCCCAATTGATAAAATTATTATACATAGCTTCAGCAATGTGTATCCTTTCTGCATTTCATCTAATCATATAACGTATATTACTTCCTTCCTGAAAACTGATTATCTGGAGTAAAGAAGTAGCATTTTGAATTTCAGAAAATTTATAAAATAACATTGAATCTCCAAACATTCTTATATTCTTCATTTTTTAATTACTCATTAGGGACATTAAGGGTTTTTTTTTTTTTTTTGGACGAAAATTGAGCAGTGCCTTAGCCGGGAGTTGAACCACAGACCTCTCAAATTCGCATCGAGCGTGCTCACCACTACACCACGAAGACATGCTAAGAAGGCGGGAGAAATACCTTATATATTCCCCCTTTTAAGGACGACTGGGGATTAGGGGACCCAATCGCCAAATCCTTGGCTGTGGAGAAACATCATCCACCACCTGTTTTAGTTCCAGCGCCACTGTAGAGTCATTAGGTATTTGGAAGCAGGAGAGATGAAAATTGAGCAATGCCCTCGTCGGGAATCGACCACGTGATCACTACACCACGAAGGCATGCTAAGAAGGCAGCAGAAATATAACTTTAACATACAGGCGGCAGAAATACCTTATAACTCTAACAGCAGTGATTCACCAGCCAAATTTTATGAATGTTTAAAGAGGAACAAAATCCTCTTTATTTATTTAGAAGCCTTTGTCCAACCTTTGAATTTAACTTCAATGAACTACTTTCAATTATATTGTCCTTCACCTCTAGTCGATTGGCTTGCTCAACAAAATTCAAAGAAAAAACTTAAGACTTCATCAATACAGAGGCAAAAATTAATATGTAGTGCTTATTAGTAATTATCTACAGATTATGCGGACTGAAAGAATAGAGAAATTGAAGTTTATTCTGGGCCTTGACCAATCTGCAGGGAAACAGCCACTACTTAAGTCGCAGAGACATTTTACTTCTTATAATAGATGCCCATTTGCTCCCATCGTCCAAAATTGCGCTAAATAAAACTCAGTTGTCATTTATTGAGAACTTCATAACTATACACCTAAATAATCCTATTTCCAAATGCAAATTTTTAGCGAGGAAATGTTCACGCAGTCTCAGTGGCCAGATCGTACTGACCGAAAACCGCATTGTTCAGTCAATCATTCTTTTGCCATTTTCTTCTCTTTCTATTGCAAAGTAATAATTATTCAACGCAATTTGCACTTTTTGGAAAGCAAGAGTATTTCTTTGGAAAGGACAAAATTAATAGGAAAATTAAACTAAAATAGTATTAATTGGTAGTTCCTAATAATAATAATAGTTAAAACCTTTATTTCTAACCTTTTGTCTGAATGCGGTAAATGTAATCATTTTAGAGGAATATTTTAGTTAGCCATTATAGGAACATTTTGTTAACCTTATAATAGATAATTCATGAACTTTGTCTCTCAATGCTGATCTCGTTGGAAAATACCTCAAGCATTTCGAATTTCAGAAAATTAACTTGAAATGTTGAAAATAACTTGAAATATTAAAACATTTAAAAATAACTTGAAGTATTGAAAATTAACTTGAAATACTAAGTTGGAAAATACCTCAAGCATTTCGAATTTCAGGAAATTAACTTGAAATATTGAGTTATCTTGGTTGTAGACAAAGGTTCTTTAACAGAATGATACTAAATGCAACGTTAGCAATTTCACGCGCATTCGGACGGTGACATGAAGTGTTTGTTCATGACAATTTGAATTTCTTCGATAAATAATTCATTAATAAGCACTTTATTTTCCTTGAGCATAGCATGGAAATCATTCAATTATTTTTTCAACTTACTTAAAAGGTTTTTTTTAACAGCATTTAATTTGCAGCAAAATTTAATGAAAATTATGAAAGGTTAAATACGGACCTTTGTGCTTTAAACTCCTTAAAGTGTAATAAGTTTGCAACAACCGTATTTTCGCATCCCATAACAGCCGCTTGCGTCTCCAGGGCATGAGAATGTCCTGGAGAAGCCTGTATAAACAGATTCACTTCTTTTCAAATAAATCTATTCAGTTACACACCTGCTTCAACAATAATAGCAAAATTTTCGAACGTTCGTAGTACTGAAGTTTCCTGATGTATACTCTCACTTCCTTTGCAAGACTCAGAAACTAAATATTTCACAAAAGCCCATATATGTATATAGCAAACAGGTAACTATAAATCGGGAGCGGAACTTATGTACATAAGCCCCAAGTATTGGTCGTTTTCACACCTGCCTACTGTCTAAGTCTCAGCTCTTACTTTGCTTTGTGAGTTACTGACGCACAAAGGGTTCACTCAAGCGGCTTCTAAATAAACACGGATAATTTAAAAGAAACGACTTAAAATTATCGATTCAGTTTGGGTTTTACGAACATAAAATAATAAGCTATTTCTGCTTTTTTGTTTTTTTGTTTGTTTGTTTGTTTGCATTACAATATAAAATTGATATACGTGTCTAAATTAACTTAACTAATGGATGTTTTAATTTCTTTTATCTAATGGCCGGCCTTTGCGTATTCAACATTGGCTACTCCTAAGGCCAGAAGTGGTGACCATTTCATTGTGGAGGCACCTAAATAGGCCCTCACCATTGCTTCCTATAAAGGGAAGGACAGTTACAACCATGCTTTCTCCGAGATCCAAACCTCCAAACCCGGGCCCTTCGGTACCACAGTAGGCTTGTCTAACCACTCTACCGTCTGGGCGGCGTGGGGTCCAGACGGTAGAGTGGTTAGGCCTTTAAAGCCTTTTTTACATAATAGGCCTTTAAAATCACAGCCATTTTCTTTCTTTCTCTGGGATAATCTGATTCTCACCTTCGTTAATCTTTCTCATTCAAACGAACCCAGTCCTGTATTTTCCTTGTTAAAATATTGGAATGTCCTTTTCTCACAGGAAATATCTCATGAAAATAAACATGGAAAAAATACACATAGAAGAACAACAATTATGCTTCTTACTTTTCTTTCCAATCCAGCTAATTTTTTTCTGGATATTTCCTCTCGCTAAAAAAAAAAATGAGGATACGATTCTTTTTTCTAAGGTAAGCTGTATTGATATTTATTTGCGTAGAGTACCTTAAATATTAGAAGTGCTTAATTTACGTGACAGATTTAATATTTTAAAATGTTACATACATATTCTGAACAATTTGTTAGTATTCAAAACCCTGATCTATAGATGTCATCATTTGCAGTAGCTTGCAGATTAAATCATCTTAACTAAGCTCTTGATAAAGCTCTATATAAAACGTAAATACAAGCAAAAGCTCTCGTGTTCTTTGCTATAATCGATATGGCCATAACATAATAAATAATAACGAACAAGCATAATAAAGAATCATCTATGTGTAGTTGGAAATCCAGTTTTCTTAAAATTCGTTACATACACATTAGGAAGAGAGCTCCCTTTTTATCAGACAGATAGCTTCATATTACGATATATTGAAGATTGTAATTTAGATCAACTGGTCCCAATTTGATATATACAGTAAATGCAATATCAGAGTTTAAAAACGGTATGTGAGTGGATCGTGAATGCATGGAATTCATTTCACTGGCAATAACGAAAACGAATTTAAAAAAAAACTGGATTCCCAACTACACATAGATGATTCTTTATTATGTTATGGCCATATCGATTATAGCAAAGAACACGAGGGCTTTTCTTGTATTTACGTTACATATAGAGCTTATTATGATTTAATCTGAAAGTTGCTGCAAATGATGACGTCAATAAATCAGGGTTTTGAATACTAGCAAATCGTTCAGAATATGTATGTAACATTTTAAAATATTAAATCTGTCACGTAAATTCAGTATTTCTAATATTCAAGGTAACCTACGCAAATAAATATCAATACAGCCTACCTTAGAAACAAATTCGTGCGTTCTTTATATTTCGATCTTTAATTAGTTACGGCCCACCAGCGGCCGAGCGGTAACGTCGCTGAACACTGGTAGTTCGGTCCGAGGTTCGAATCCCGCGTACGGGCTGGCTGCATGGGCGTTTTCATGATTTTCCCTATGTGTAACGTGTATACGAGCCAGTTTCCCTTAAAAAGTCCTCCATGAAGACATTTCTCCCTCGAGGCAGATAGCCGTCGAGTACTTTGCTGCAATCTAATAAACCAAACCAAACCTTTAATTAGTTAAAATTTCACAAATAGTTGCGATAAATAAGAGATTTTAAGCAAATGCACCAATAAAATAAAACAGTGTTAAAATGGGCCTTTTGTAAAATTATACATTGACATAAAATTGTCGAATAATTTCTTTATTAACTATTTCTCTTTGGAGAGCAGACCTTAAAATAAAAGATTTTGCCAACTATAGAAATAGCGATGAAAATTATTAAATAAATAAGCATGTAAATTAAAAATTATTTTATAAAATGATCGTCTAAATTGTAATTTGAAATTAATAGAAGTAATTATAGAACATTATTAGAAATTTACCACTTAAAATTTACTTATATTAAGAATTTGAGAAAAAAAATTGCAATATCAGTATTATTCATTCAGCTAATTGTGTTGTTTACTTGTAATGACCAGAGTTCTGCTTTAAAAAATTACTTTAAAACACTAAATTTTATAATTATTTAAATTATAGAGCTATACAGAACTGAAGTAATTTAAATAATTGCTTTCAAAAATATTAAAATTAGTGCAATTTTGTAAAGCATTGCTTTTAATGATAAAAGAATTCTTAATAGTCACAAAGTTTGCGCATGTAATGTTTGACTTATTCCTGATTATTCACAGCGGCGTTTTAAAGCTAAAATATTCATCGTTAATGAAATAAAAATGATTGATTTTGCCGTTCACATGGAAGTAGATGTATATTACTCCTCGTTTTTTACAAATAGTATAAATAGCGGTACTAGATTTCTTTCCTTCTTAGCTTACATATCATACAGGGGTTGGACAAAAATATGGAAACACCTTTAAAAACATGTTTCTTTGCTTAATATGGTGTAGGAAACCCGTTGGCATCCAAAACAGCTTGCAGTCTTCTCGGAATGGATAAATACAGTTGCTGTATGTTTGCCAAAGGAATATTATACCATTCTTCCTGCAAAACGGTGGCAAGTTCAGATAACGATGTTGGCAGTGGATAACGGGAACGCACTTTCCGTTCCAATGTACACCACAAAGGTTCGATAATATTCAGGTCTGGTGACTGTGGTGGCCAGGGGAGATGGGACAACTCATCCTCGTGCTCAGAAAACCAGTCTTGGACAATGTGAGCTGTGTGAACAGGGGCTTTGTCGTCTTGGAAGACACCATCACCATCGGGGAAAAGTTTGCACCACGGGATGAACTTGATCGGCCAAAATGTTCACATAAGTCTTGGCAGTCATGTGCCCTGACATTATCATGGGGCTAGCAGAGAACCACGATATGGCTGCCCAAACCATAACAGAACCCTCACCATGTTTCACTCATGGCAACAAGCAGTCTGTATTATAGGCTTGAGATGGCGTTCTCCAGACGTAAACTCGGCCAGAAGTGGGAAACAATGTGAAAGAAGACTCGTCAGACCATATTACTCGCTTCCACTGCTCTATAGTCCAGGCTTTAATGACTTAAACACCACCCTTTTCCTGTTACGGGGCATTAGCATCACTGATGAGTGGCTTCTCAATTGCAGCACGGCCAGCAATTCCCTGTTTTATGAAGCTCCCTTCTAATTGTTTTGGTACTCACAGGGTTCGGTAACACAACATTCATTTCAGCAGTAACTTTTGCAGCTGTGGTCTTCTTATTTTTCGTCACAATTGCTCTTAATAATCGTCTGTCACGATCACTCGGGACACACTTTCGTCCGCGCTGTGATTTAGCAGATGATGTTTTTCCGCTTTTCAAATATGCGGAATAAATCTTCGATACAGTACCTCTTGAAACACTAAGCACCTCGGCTACCTTGCTTACGGGAGCACCTACCATATGTGCTCCAACAATTTGCCCACGTTCGAAGTCTGTTAACTCTGACATAATGCAATGACAACCTCACATAACAGTACTAAGACAACAACTGAACTGTTTAACACATTTACGAAGTTGTGTAGGTGGCGTCAGTAGTCAAAAATGCCAGCGCCACCTACATATTTCATTAAAATCAATCTTTCTTTTCAAACATGCATTTCACAAGGTGTTTCCATATTTTTGTCCATCCACTGTATCTCCTTAGCTTATATTACTTACTTAGCTTAGAGTTAGTTAGCTTACATATCATATCTTTAGCTGACACATTTTTATCCCTTGTTTCAAAACTTTATTCAAGCATCTCATTTTTAAAATTTCGAAATAATTACAACTAACTTCAGAGTTGTTTCGAAATAATTACAACTAAATTATAAGATTTACTGAAGAATTGATTCTTTTAATTTTAGCCATTTTTTATCCAAATGGGAGTTAGCCCAGAAGGGCTATTAATTTCATTTTGATATTTTGTGGGGTTTCACTATAAACGGCGTTTTACTTTTCAAATTGTTGCCACCAAATTCTATCGCTCTGTATTATATTTATAGAAATTAAAACAATGAAGAATCTGCATGAATGCATGTGTGTTTTCTTTTGCACTGTGATAAAACAACGGTATCTAAAGCCATCAAATTGTGAATACAGTACGTCTCATATGGACACCTGGAAGCCCAAATTTGGAATTTATTTTATTATCTATTTCATATTTTGTAAAGCATTTATGAGTTTTTGATTAAGGAACTCAATGATTTTAAAGCGAGCAATGGCAACACTGAACGGAAAAAAAAATTATCTCCAGCGCGCGATACTGTGTATCATAATTTCTAAAGATATGCTCTTTTTAAATCATTTTGTGATAGTGCAGATGAATTTAATTTTATGGTTTAAGTGCGGAGAGCATGATATTTAATAAATGAAGGTAGCATACAAACGTTCAAAAAAAAAGCCCCTTTGGGCGTAATGTAAAATTTGAGAACTTTCAATTTTTTTTATTTTATTTCGTAATTTTTTTTTTGTCTCTAGGTTGTGATGCGATTAGGGCTGTTGAAAATGGAGCTAATGCAATCATCGTAGACAACATAGGAGGCCGAGGTTTAGACTCAGCTCCGCCAGCCGTAAGTCTTCGATACTCAAATATGATGTTTCTGCTCTTCCCTTCCCCTAAATAAGGTTACTTTCGTAATTATTCGTTCTTTTTTAGATCGAAGCTTTAGCTGAAGTCCTTGAAGCTGTTGACGTTTACCAGAACGTTGAAGTCTTCTTGAGTGGCGGAGTACGCTGGGGTACTGATGTCTTCAAGGCTTTAGCCATGGGAGCTGATGGAGTCTTCATCGGGAGACCAGTTTCATGGGGAATGTTACATAGTGTATGTTTCGTTCCATTTTTGTTGCATTATTAAGTTCTGTTTCCTGCAAATTTATAAGATTTACTGAAGGGAGCTGTTGCATGATACAAATCACCGATTCAGCATGATCATGGAATACTGTGTTGAACCTATCACATTACGAGCAATCGAAGCGTAAGCAGTTACGCAGCGGAATAAGAAAATAATGTGTTGGGTCAGTTTTAACGCTGTAAACACATTTTAGCACTGTTTTTGCAATATTCAGTCTGAATCAAACATTGTAAGTAAGTAAACATGCATTGGAAATGGCTCATACTGTATCATAGAGCAGCCGAAACAAAGATTCGTAAGTGTTCTTCGAAAATACACTGTCTTGTAGAAACGAAACAGTCGTTTTGCCATTTTGTAGCTCTTTCACTAATTTTCCTAGAGGTGTGAAATTGTGATGCTGAAATTTATACTAAATTTTACAAGCTTCATTTTAAAAAAATAATAGTTTTTCTTCTTTTCTTAGGGTAAATGTGGTGTAAGACGAGTTTTACAAGTTCTCAGAAGAGAATTTGAAAGAGACATGGGTCTAATGGGTAAGTAAAATTTAATTTTACTAAGTTAAATGTTTGATTTTATTTATGCTGCAAAAGCATGCGTATTTTCTAAAATCTTCTAAAATTTCTAAAACCTAAGTTTCTAAAATCTGCTATCTTAAATTTGGTTTTTCGAATGAATGGAACTTCAATAATGCAACCAGAGAGATTAGAAGAAAAACCTTTTTGAAAAGGTTCCATATTTATAATGGTCGCCCAAAGGTTTAATAGGTTTACCAGTAGAGATTATTAATAAAGATGTTCCAGCCAAACATTTTATAGAACACTAAAGGAATATACATGGGAACTTTATACATGTTCTGTATATTCGAATAGTGAAAAATATATATAGTAATTCTATAAAAATACTTAATCATTTGATGCTTTTAATTAGATATATCATGAATTAAGTGCATTTAAGTTAATTATATTAAAGAGTTTAAAAAATAATACTCTTAAGAACTCCATTTATTATGCTTAAATAACCTAGTTTACTAATCAGGTAACAGATAGATTAAATTTGAAAGATAAGTATCTTACATTTTGCCAAATGCCAACAGACTCGAAGAAAAATGAAACAGCGCATTAACAGTGGGCGTCATTTAAAGTTAATCAACACAAAATCGTGTTTCGATGCTAAAAACAAATGTAACCGATTCGAAGGAAAAGTACGCATGTCGGAGTTATGCAGTTCACCGAATATGGAGAAGTTAAAATTTTGCATTTAATTCCTATTATTTAATTAATAATTAGTATACCTTCCGTATTTAATACAAATACCAAAACTTTCAAACAGATTTTTCCCTAACTGTGATTAAAAAAAATAGTTTCACTTCACTCATTTTTAAAATTCGAGAATTCATTAAATGCAATAACGGAAAACTCCGTCACACATTTTTTTTTTACAGTGTAGACTCATACTTTACTTTCCATACTTAATTAATGTTTCTACTAAGTCCTCGATATGTATTCCGAGGAGTCAATAAAGTAGTTCTGATAGTCAAAAATTACTCAAAATTCAATTAAGTGGAAATACTTAATTAAAAAATGTACTGCAATAATGGAAAACTCCGACATACATTTTTTTTACATTGTATACTCCTACATTACTTCCATACTTAATTCATGTTTCTACGAAGTCCTCGATATGCATTCAGAGGCATATAGAGGCAATAAAGCAGTTCTGAGGTCAAAACTCCCTCAAAGTTCAACTGAGTCGAAATTCTTAATTTAAAAATTATACAAGGAGCATTCCACCATAAAGAGCTGTGTTAATATTTTTTTCTTTCCTCAAATTATGGGCACTAGCTTCTTAAGCATTTATCGGGATTAGATGAACTAATAGGTCTTTTAATCACCCTTTCACCAACGGTATTGCCCAACCTGCATAGCAGGCAGTTAAACGTTTACTCATGAAGAGGGGGGGAAGAACAGTACACATGCAACCAAGCTTTACGCGGGTGTCGAACCTACAACCTTTGGCTACAAGGCTAGCAGACGGCTCCGCTAATCATTATGCTGTTCAGTTTAAAATTGCTTGCTAAAGTGACCTATAGAAACAAACCCATTGCATTTTAGTTGTGCAAAAGTGCATGAGTAGTTTACACATCTATACAAGAAACAGATTAATCAATTATTGAAGAAGGATCAATTCTGCGCCCATTAACTTGTATATAACTGAATATATTCCTATTGTTGGACTGTAATAAACTGAGAGAAATATTTCATAATATGACACAATGCGCTAAGTTTTGCGCTTTACATTATAACTCTCTGTGCAATGGAATTATAGCGTGGTCTAGTTCGCTCTTTTTCTTTTTCTTTAACAGTGTGGTTTACAGGCTATCAAAATCTAGTTGAAACAGTTATATCAGTTCGATATTTCTAAAACTTTTATATTTTTGCACTGTCATGTATTTTTTATCAACTTATTCATTTATTAATGATAATTGTGATATATTCATTTATTAATGACATTATGTGATAATAATATATTCATTTATATTGTAAATATCGTGTTTATGTAATAAGTACTTGATTTAATTTAAAATTGTTGGCTTTTTATTGTGCTCGTATATGTTTATTTTATGTATTATTGGTAGAACATTTAATTTTGAGTCAATTAATACTGGAATTGTAAGGATAACTGAAATAACACGGGAGATGCAGACAGAAATCCTCCTACTTAGCTTTTCCAAAAATTTGTATTGCCTAGCTAGTGATTTCTCGTCAGTTTGGGCAACATTCTAAAATGGCATGAGCCCTCTTTTTATCGTGCTCGTATATGTTTATTTTATGTATTATTGGTAGAACATTTAATTTTGAGTCAATTAATACTGGAATTGTAAGGATAACTGAAATAACACGGGAGATGCAGACAGAAATCCTCCTACTTAGCTTTTCCAAAAATTTGTATTGCCTAGCTAGTGATTTCTCGTCAGTTTGGGCAACATTCTAAAATGGCATGAGTCCTCTTTTTATCGTGCTCGTATATGTTTATTTTATGTATTATTGGTAGAACATTTAATTTTGAGTCAATTAATACTGGAATTGTAAGGATAACTGAAATAACACGGGAGATGCAGACAGAAATCCTCCTACTTAGCTTTTCCAAAAATTTGTATTGCCTAGCTAGTGATTTCTCGTCAGTTTGGGCAACATTCTAAAATGGCAGAGCCCTCTTTTTATCGTGCTCGTATATGTTTTATTTTATTATTATTGGTAGAACATTTAATTTTGAGTCATTAAACTGGAATTGTAAGGATAACTGAAATAGCACTGGAGATGCAGACAGAAATCCTCCTACTTAGCTTTTCCAAAAATTTGTATTGCCTAGCTAGTGATTTTTCGTCAGTTTGAGCAACATTCTAAAATGGCATGAGCCCTAGGAAGGGTTTACTCGGAGCTTCCGGAAGTCTTTATAGCAAATCTAGAACTAGTCTCTTAGGCAAAACTAGAAACATAAGGTTTCGTGTAAACTTTAATTTAGTTAAATTAGTTCAAAACCTGTGAATCTGTCGTTAGTCAGCTCCTTTAGTCTTTTCTCTGCGAGCAATTTTGTTGATCTGTGATATTCCTGACGTCACAGAAAGAATTTCGCTTCGTCTTCGCTTTTACTGCTTGGGGTATTTATTTTGCTATAAAAGCCAATATTTATCGCAATAAAGATTCAAATCTTACTGTTCATCTGACCTTTATTTAAGGAGATATTTTCGAACTGGTAGCAAGTAACAATATTAAATCAAATAAATAGTCATAAAATTGCCTCAAACGTAAATCCTTTGCTGTATCCACAGATTATATATTATCAGTAGTAACCATAATAAATTAAACCATTTCAGTTAGATTGCTTTTGTTGCAGATGAACAGATCTTTTGATACCTTTCTTTCTCGAGAATGAAATTCTGAAATTTCACCCTTTTACTCGATATTAATATATTTCTGAAATGTATTTGATAATTAATAAAATGTATAACAAAATCAGCAGATAAAATAAACACATCTTAATAATTAGACATTTTTCTATTAAAAACTTAAGGATAAAACTGAATTTAAAAATTTATTTAGGAGTGAAACACGTCGATGAGATCACATCTACCATGGTGGTCACAGAGAACTATTACAGACACCGATACAGGCCAAACGATGTAGATGGAAGAACCAGTGCACGTGAAGATAGATTGGAATGCCCTTTCGGCTACGATTACGATGAAGATTTTGATCCTTCTTTGGAAGACGTCATCGAACTAAGACCTCGTTATGGGCCAAGACTTCCAAATAATTACGGCATCTCCCCTCCAATTCTTCCCAACTTTTAATTAATTAAACCTGCATCAAGATCTTTTTTTCTCTAACACCCAACAAATTATATATCTTAAAATAACAATTTAAATTTTTGGTCTGTTAATATTTTGAAAAAATTATAAAACATGTATTATATCTTTTAATATAATTATTTTCGACCAGTACTTTATTCAAGTATTTTTATTAGTAATTACATGAGAATGTCAAAGTTGCCTGATTAATTTATACAACACAAATTACACAATTGTTATAAATTCTTTTTTTGCTAAAATTAACTACTGTAATCAATTTTTATTTAGACAGAATTTTATTTACTTTTTAGTCAAAAACAAATCATAAAAATGTTTCTTTATCTTGTGCTTTTTTTTTTTCTGGTTTTGTAAATGTATAGAAACGGGTGTATAAAATAAAATGTAGAGTCAGAATTTAAAAATAAAATTTGTATGGTTTCTTTTTATTCTAAACTACTGCAGAATATCTTCTTCAGTTTCATTAAGTAGGGTCTAAATCATTACTTGTGTGCATTTAAAGTATTGTAATTTAAGAATATTTGTAATTTCTTGAAAGAAGAAATATAATATTAGGAAATGAGAACATTACTTAAATCTCAACTAAAGTCCCAGTTATTCCTCATTTATAATATTATGTATATCGGTGTTGTAAATGATTGGTATTATTGTACAGAAATGTTTTTGGAAATTGGTTGACTGATTTGAAAGCTGATGAGAATATTTTCCTAAACTATGAAGCACGTATTTGGTTAACATCTTTCCAGGGTTTTAGCTTCTCTCCTGGCTATAAATTGTTATATAGTGACGAATTTACTGCAAAAGTATGTAAAATAAACATTTATGACATAGTTGAAAATGTCTTGTCTTTTCCTTTTGAACATGTTTTCTGAAATACTGCGTGATATTCAACAAGATCGAATTTAAAAGCTGGTTGAATGCTGCTGCCTTATTCCATCTTTTGATGCCAAGTTATATTCGCACTAGAGACAGAAGTGTAAATATAAGTAAATAAATGGGATGTAAACTTCATTTCCAGCAACAAAGTTCTTATAAATTTAATTAATATTAAATCAGAAAATTTTAATTGTTCCTAAAATGAAATAAAGTATTAAAATAAGTAAACCTGGATCCTGAATAGAATTCCTTTCTGCTAAAAATACAACTTTGTCGTCTGTGCTTGGATTTAAAAATATCAAGAGACTTTTAAGAATTTTTTTATTTATAATACATTAGAAATTACACCATTTTATAATGCATTCTTAGGCAGAATTTGATATTAAGTTTAATATTTTGACATTACAAGTATTACATCTCAGGTTCTGCACCAGAAAAAGTGACATGATAATTGACATTTTCTTTCAATTCTTTTAACCTATTCAATTGCAAAATTTCAAGTATGAAATATTTAGATGGCATTTATTTTCAATTCCTTTAATACGGTTGCTTGCAATATCTGAAATATGAAATGCATAGGGGACATTTTTTTTCATTACTTTCAACCTATTTCCTTGCAAAATTTGAAATATGCGTAACATTTTCTTTCAATTCTTTTAACATATTTGAATTATGAAACACATAGATGACATTTTCTTTCAATTCTTTTAACCTATTTGACTGCAAAATTTGAAATATGAAACGCATAGGTGACATTTTCTTTCAGTTCTTTTAACATATTTGACTGAAAAATTTGAAATATGAAACGCGTAGGTGACATTTTCTTTCAATTCTTTTAACATATTTGGTTGCAATGTCTGAAATATGAAATGCATAGGTGACATCATTTTCTTTCAATTCTTTTAACACATTTGATGACAAAATTTGAAATATGAAATATTTAAATGACATCATCTTTCAGTTCTTTTAACCAATTTGATTCAAATATCTAAAATATGAAATGTGTAGGAAATATTTTCTTTCAATTCTTTCAATTCAAGCTATTTGATTGCAAAATTTGAAATATGAGTTTGTTGTTACTCCTTTTCCACATACATAAATTTTAAAAATATTGTTAAATTGATTCCTCAAGCTTAAAATTGAGAGGAATAATTTGTAATTACCTAGCATTTTAATCAATAAAATTTACGCAAAAATTTTCAGAGTTCAAAGAGTATTTTCTTATAATCAAATAAAACTGCCGCCCACCTGCGGCTGAGCGGATAAGACCAGTGAATACCAATCTTTTGAAGTGGATTCAAATCTCAGCTCTAAGGCTAACAGCATAGGCTCTTTCATCATATTTAATAAAAATTACGAACCAGTTTCCCTTAGAAAATCCTTCAGGAGACCCTTATTATTTTTATTTACGTGCTCCTCCCCTCAGGCACTACACGGAAGGAGGAAATGTTTTCATGCAGCACTTTCTAAGGGAAGCTGGCTCTTATTAACACGTAACACGAAAACGCCCATACGGCCAGCCCGTTCGCGGGTTTCGAACCTTTAGGCCGAACTACCAATCTTCAGGGAATTTACTCGGCTGCTGATGGTCTCCAGAAGACCCTTAGACAGCTAGTTCTTATGTACTTTCTCGTCAACTAATAAATCAATTTAATCCAATAAAACTTTGAATTATACAATTCGGAGATAAATATGATGCAATTCACATCTTTTATTAAGCTTAAACATAAAAAACGTATACTCAATAGAAACTAGGTTTATTTGCAGATCACTAAATAATGAATATAAAGTTATAGATATTGATTACTACTATGATAATAAATATAAAAAGGAGCATCGACTGGAAAAAAATGGTCCAATGTATTATATAAACCCAATGTATTATATAATTTTCTAACTTGTATTCCTTACACAAATTTTACAAAGCACCCATCAAATTCCATTTTTTTAAAATGGTACTGGTCATTACAGATTGGCAGACTGTGTTTTTGCTCTTAAATTTAAAAATATCGCCGAGTCCTGGTTTTTCAACAAATAAACAGAATTATTACGGGGGGTCTACATATTCAACACATACTTGTAACCATTACCTTTTCATAAAGCAATATCACTTCAAAAAATCTCTTAATCAAGTTAATAAAATTACTTTATTCATGTTTTTAGATATTTTTAAGATTTAAATGCTACAAAGAATTTTGAGAAAATAGAAGAACCCAATGTTTACTATTCTAGTTTTGTTGAAGATAAAACTGATACCACTCAAAAAGGAATTAAATATTTCGATTTAGATATTTTTATTACAAAATATTAAACTATTCGACAAAGAAAAAGACTTCAATTTTAATACAATAAAATTAATTCACTGGGATTCTAAAATTTCGAAATATATTTTAAATAACACAAATCGCAATCAGCTTCACTGAATCAAACAAATTTGTACTGAAGTTAATTACCTTCAAGAAGAAATCATTCTTTTCATCAATACATTAATGAGGAACAGTATTTCAGCCGCCCAACCAGTATACAGAGGCTGTTGGCACATTTTTTAGACGATTTTGGTAAGCGGTAATAAAAAATCGTTTCTTCAAAAGAAGTAATTGCAATTGTACTAAAAAGTTTTTAAAAGTCAAAATTATCGCCTGTGGCTTGAAAGTTTGTTTTATTCAAAATGGCGATTTTACAAAGCAGTGGTTCGAAGGCTACGTTTTACGCTCTTCCGAAGAGAAATATGCATACTCCGTTATCCAAAAAACGATGTGAGATCATGGTTTTGTGATATCTAAAGCGTCGATAGGTAATATCATCAACAAGAAAGGAAAACGTCAAATTGGAGCCTCAAGTGGGACAAAAATTCCAACAAGTATAGAAGATAAAACGGACATCTTCGACTATTGCAAAGGTTACGTTGTTAATATTAAAAGAAAATCCGCCTAGTCAAAGGACAGCTGCAAAATCATTAAAATGCTCGGGGTCCACTGTAAACAAAATGATAACGTTTGATTTAAATCTTAAGAAAGCGAAAAACGCAATGTGCATCGTCTTCTTCCAAAGCATGTCGCTCAACGCAGGACACGCTGCAGAATTCTACATGAGAAACACTTATCCAAAGAAAAATGGAAAGCTATTGTCACAGTAGATGAAGCATGGGTGTATTTAAATGATTGTAACAAAAAAAAAGAGCCATTTATTATCATAAAAGGAGAGAAAAATATTAAGTACATCGTTCAAAGAATCGAAAGAAAGTTTTTAAGGGATTCATGATTGTTCTGGTTTTCTTATAATGGCAAGTTAAAAATAAAGGAGTGCAACCAATGTCAGATTAACTCCAAATACTATCGGAACATATTTTATCGCCAATTTTTCTGAATGAAATACCATCGTTTTACCCACAGTGCCATCAAATCTGTGAGACTCCATCAGGACAAAGCTAGCAGTCATACATCAAAATCCACTGTAAATTTCCTAAAAGCAATGGAAGAAAACTGGTATCAAGGCCATCTCTACTAAATCTCCCGATGTGTCTGTCACCTATGGATTTTTGTGCTTTCGGACTTTTAAAAACTGCATCATCCAAACGTTGCCTCAAAACCCTAACAGGACTCTGGAAAGCTGTTCGGGAGGAATGAGATAGAATATCGCTTCTGCCTCTTTCAAAAGGCATTACTATCCTGGAAATTGTGGTGTCGAAAGATAGTTCAGAATAAGGGATGCAAATAGAACATTTAAAACACAAGAATTTTATGTAATTTAGTTTTGTGAATACAATATACATTGTCTAAAAAATGCGTGAACAGCCTCTGTGTAGTAGTTAGCGTCGCTGACTGCCGTGCAGAAGGGATCGGGTTCGAATGCCTGGAGAAGGCATAGATATTTGTAAATGTGTAGTGTCCGTGCGGCATGGGGACACTCTAACTAAGCGGCGAACGAAAGTCCTCCACAGAGGTTGGTGGTAGGGAAAGAGGGGTGGAAGACCCTCAGACCCTCCACCAGGGGTGCTCTCCATCAAAATTGGGGGTCGAACTAAGCTAAATCACACTGTCATCTGTAACGTGCTCAAGGCTATTGCCAACGACAGGCGTAAACTTGCACTCCTTTCCACGAGGAATTTCGTGGGATTGGGCTGACTATAGGTCAGTCAAGTGAGAATTGGCAACAACAACAATAACAATAGTATTCCAAGATATTACATTAAGCTTTCTCTGTAAAACCAGGCATTAACTACAAGATTTAATCTATGTTTTTTATTATGATATTATTGTGTTATTTTAAATTTCAAACGTAGGATGGCAACTAAACTTAGAGGCTTGCTTACATGTAAAAAAAATTGTCTTTCGTAGGAAGTTTCTGAATTATAATTCTGGCTCCATTCTTTTATTAACATATCTGTTCTATTTTCAAAAAAAAAAAAAAAAAAAAAAAAAAAATCACTGGAGCTAAGTTGAGTGAAGAGTTTTGACTTTAAACTGACTGTCTTCAATTTTCGCAACATTTTCCAGAATGTAAATGTGAATTGTATTGTTATTTTACCGCCATTTTAGTTGCTTCCCTAAACTTCAACTTTTTGTCAGCCCTACACCCTTCTTCACTTTTTTGTCAACTCCTAATTTTACTACAGGCAAAATATACTTGTTTCTAAGAGTTTAAGAGTCTTCTATTTTTCTGCCAAATTTCTAGCCAACGCCAATTTTCCGACAACCCTGGCATAATTTAATTATTAGAATTAGATGCGCAATGTCAATGACACCTATTTCAACTTTTAGTACTTTTTCACTATAATAAAAGGATTCAGGCCAGAAATGATAATCTAGCTTCTTTCGTACCACGTTCTTAGTTTGAAGACTAAAATAGCTGAGCCATTTTAATTGTAACATTTTGAGTTTTACATCATTTTTGCTACATTCAAGAAATTCTAATAAGCTTTTTTTCCTTTTTCTGTTCCCTTTTAAATCTTTTGTAGAATTT